GCACCGTTGATTGTCCTCTGCGGTGACCAGAGCATCAGAAATTTGTTTGATGAGAGATTCATTGTATTGCATGGGCAGGATACTGTCAGGTTGCCCAGACCTAGATAGGAGAACGATTAGGGTTCTCAACCGAAGCCTTTGTTTCAAAAACCTTACCGCAAGGCAGCGGATTTGGCTTTGGGCTACAAGTAGTCCATTTTAAGGAATAAGGTGCCACCCTCAATCCATACCCCAACCTGGAGGACCAGAAGGCTGAGTTTGTCTGGCCTCTAACCATTGACCAATCTGGTATGAGTGGCTCTGAAGGTGCAAAAATGCACCACCCAGTATAGCTCAACGGATCGCTGAGGCACACGAACCATCGCACCACGGTAAGGTCCAGCCTTATCGCGATGGACAGAAGATCATTACACCCACCTGAACGAAGTATTCTCCAGGATGGATCCATATGGACTACGTGTACGTCAAGGACAGTGCTAGCTTCTGATGCCCAGTATCACTTACATTGGCTCGATTGTCGACAGTTCCGGTCGTCTGCCAGACCCAAACAGAGTAAGAGCCATCAAATTAATGCCAAACCCCATGAACAAAGCTACTTTGCCGTCCTTCTTTGGTCTAGTTAACTATTATCACAACTTTTTCCCTCAAATGCACGAACTTCGAGCCCCACTAAATGCACTTTTGGCAAACGAGTCAGTGTGGCATTGGTCCTCGCAGTGCCAGAAAGCCTTTGATGATATTAAACAAATATTGTTTTCCGATCTCCTTTTAACCCATTACTACCCAGGATTATCAGTAATTGTCGCTGCTGATGCATTGCAAAACAGCTTCGATGGTGTCTTTTTGCATCAGTTCTCGAATGGACATCAAAAGGCTGTGATGCATGTTTCCTGCGCGTTGACAGCATTAGAAAAGAACTACAGTCAAATAGAGCAAGAAGGATTAGCGCTCGTTTTTGCGGTTAGGAAAATTCATAACATGGTACATGGACGCAAATTTACTTTGTACACAGATCATAAACCTTTGCTATCTGTTTTTGGCACCAAACGAGGAATCCCCGTTCACACGACAAACAGATTATACCGTTGGACAACCACCCTATTAGCATACGATTTCGATTTACGTTTTAAAAGTACGTTTTCGCTTGATCATACTGACGCATTATCCATACTGATTGCCGACAGCACGTCCAATATACCGGATGAAGACATTGTTGTGTCCAACATTACCTTCGATTCCGAGATTAGACAAGTATTTCAAACATCTGAAGTCAACTTCCAGTAACAGCAGATGCAGTCAATAGAAACATCAAAAGATTCCCTGTTACAACCTATTATGGGGTACCTTCGCACTGATTGGCCTGCACGCCCCTTGGACAGCTATGCTGAGCAGTTTCGTAAAAGGAATTTTGCCTTAACCACCATTGATGGTTACTTGATGTTATCTATCCGCGTTGATTCCTAAGATTCTACAGAAGAAGCGTCTCAGTCAGTTCCCCCAAGCTTACTCGGAAATCATTCGTATGAAATCTATAGCCCGCAGCTATGCCTTTTGGCCATTCATGGACCAGAATATTGAAAATGTTGTTCGTTCCTGTAACAGCTTTGCTGTGGCAGCAAAACCACTTGACAAATGGGAGCTTCATTCTTGGCGAACTCCAAGTGGACCATAGCCTTGCATTCATATTGATCTTGCCGGACCCCTGGAGGATTTCCACTATCTGGTAATTATCGATGCTTACTCAAAGTGGCCCGAAATTTTTCAAATGTGATACGCAGCCACTTCTGCTGTTGTTGCACCTACGCCATTTTATCTCAGAATTCGGTGTTCCCGAAACGATTGTTTCGGATAATGGTTCCAAATTCACTTCTCAAGAATTCGCCAACTTTTGCAACTCATCTGGCATCGAACACATACTCACCTCAGCGTATCATCTACAGCCAAACGGGTAAACCGAACGTTTTGTCGGTACGTTTAAGCGAGTATTGATTAAAATTGATGGATAGGGAATTTCCAGGAAATCATCGACAGATTTTCGCAGATTTACCGTACGACGCCAGATCCAGCAGTACCCCAAAACATCTCCTCATCCGAGGCGTTTCTCTGTAGGCGTGTCAGAACGGTCGTTGGTGCTTTGATGCCATCCGTCCACAAGGTAGAGCGCAATGTTCACATGGAGATGGCCTTTAATCGCCTCCATGGCATCTCATGCCTGGTGATAGTGTGTACGTAAAGAATTTTCGTGACGGATTCCTACCCATATGTTGAACGGCTTTCAACTATTTTGTACTGAATATAAGTGAATTTCATTATATGGACTAGACATGTAAGCCATATTAGACCTCCTTTTGAAATGCAAGGGACATCCCAAAATTAGGAAGCTTCACTACTGGTGGACATCTTGCTCGGTACGTTTCAAATTGCCCCGTCTGAAGAGCCTGTCGTTCAAACGGAAAACGTAACTACAGATCGAAGATAACGTGAATCAGCGCGCCAGTGCAGAGACTCGAGGTAAACCCAAGATGTAAAGAATACCAACAAAAAACCTGCTATTCTGTTCAGTCTAAAGGAGGGAGGTGTTAGACGGGCTTGCGCTTCACAGTCACCCACAGCTGGTTACTTTGACATTCGTGACTGTCTCGTCACGTGATTGTGTTGGACACACGCACGACAGTCGTTCAGAACTACACCGCTCATCATTCATGACTATGTCCTTTCATGTGGTTGGCCTATTGATCTTTTGCATCCCGGTTGCTCAGCTTTGTCAGTTTTTCAACACAGCTCGTCTCGCACGGTGGTGTTCTTGCTTCCCGTTCGGAGTGGGTTCAGTTACAATCAGACGTTATAATAGTTCACTTTGTTTTCCTAATCTAATCTCGTACTTTCTGGTGGTAACTTGCAGCGAGCAACTCATCGTTTTGCACCTCAGGGGTGTCGTAGGTCCCAATATTTCATCAGTCCAAGTTACTACTTTAATCGCGTTCCACGGTCCAAGCGGATCAGCACACCGGCAATTGTTGCAGATTGCATGTAACTGTTGCTGCGTGCTGCCATCCACGCTTTACTTATCTCCGCACAGATCTCACGCTCGTCATGCTGTGACATCCTGTCCGTTTGCGGTATTCGGGGTGCCAAACAGGAACGTGGCACGGGCATGTTGTTTCTTAATGCAGTGTCTAAATGAAGCGTTCCCATATTGCAAATTTGATCAGCCGAAAGTGGGTCGTTTTGCCTCCATTAGTGCATTCGAGCCTAGTGTGCGGTAGTTATGCTTTGCGATTTGAGAGCATGGTGCGAGTGTTTCTACATCCGTTGGGTGGAACCGCCTCGATTTGCTCCGTGCATGTTTGCAGTTGTCAGTCCCCCACATAATCGCGACTCCAAAGCATTGTTTCGGTGTTGTACATTTCATGCATAATCCCAGTCTATCCTCCTCAAAGTTAACCAGACCATAACTAGTCTTAGGATCCTCCAGTCATTGGTGTGTGTGGCCTTGATCACTATATTTTCGTGAGATGTTTTCGAATAACTTTAATAAAGTATTGGTGTTTTTTTGGCGAAACCACACCTCAGCTGCTCGGTATGCCGATTAGAAACTGTTGCGGGCAAGTCAAATATTCCCGCGAAGACGCGCCAGAAACCCCGGCAGAATGGCTGTGGAAAGCGGAGAGCAATTCCTCCCCACAACGCAGCAGCGCTCAGCCGCTCCGAGGCACGTCCCAACTGCGAACCTTTTGACAATGGTCATTTGCAAACTACCACCTGTTCGGGGTGACTTCCCTAACTTAATAACCCATAGCATTGGCTGTGATTGCCCTTTGTTGGTCGTAAAAGAGCCTACAGAGGACCACCTACCTTTTCCTTCTCTTCGCCTCAGTTGGGAGTCGGTCGGGTCACGTGATTGCGTGTGAGTCATTAGCTGGCCAGCCTTCGCGTCTAAGTCATTAGCGCGCCTCTATCGTAACCCCCTTTCGTGTGCGTCCGTTCCGAAGGCTCAGCGTCTATCCAAACAAGTGCGGCTAGGATCGTTCACACGCTCGCTCAATTTTCCGTCTCACCGGCAAAGCTAGCGTCATCAGGTCAGCGCAACTCCGTTCGACTGGCCAGCGTTACAAGTCGTCATCTTAGGCGTGCTCCGACCGGGCCAGCGACAATCTTCAGGCAATTGCGCAATCATAACAGAGGCGGCGTTCCCTCATATAACAGAAACACTTGCATGCACTATTTCATCACGTTATCCATTTCATTTTGATGTAGTGATCCACCACTATTCAAATATTCGAGCGGACTGTGGGCTGGTATGAGTTGCTGCGGCAAAGAGAAGGCCTATCATGGGTCAAATACAACCGGGTAACTCTGAAACGCTTACGCAGTAATTGTTGTGTGAGCGTAGCTCTTAGTCCTCTTTCATGCTTCCGCAGCGCTTGGTCGCTTAAACCACTGGCTCCGTTTACTCGCCATAGTATATCCTCCTGTTGTGACACTTTGAGCCTTAAACTTACCCGAAAATACAAGCTAATGGTATCTATTTTCATGATGGGTTTCTCAGTCACATCAGTCCCTGGTCGATTAAAATTGCATTCCCGGTGGCATCCTTGAGTTTAATCGCATGGTACTTAGCCAGCTTCACACCCCCATCATTGGTTTGCCCTATCGATCGGTCCTTCTCACTTTTACCTATTTAAAGCACTGCGATGATCTCTTTAGCCTTTGTAGCACCGTGTCTCTCTCATACCTAGTCATCGTTAACTTGAGCACCGCCAACTTTTGCTACACTCGCGAACTATAGTTTTTTTACTAGGCAATGCCCCACTTATCATTGCTGTAAGCCTCAAGAGGTAGAGGACGATGTCAACAATTTCAACGTTGCCCGTCTCTGCTTAGCTCATTTGGATAGCCAATACCTACTCACAGGGACACCATATGTCTCATCGCTTAGACATTCGTTAACGATTCATCTTCCTGCAGCTCTATGGGCAGATCGGATACACAACTGTTCCATGGGACGCAATGGCTACTACCGGTATGTCACGGGAGCCGAAGCCAACACTCACTTTTGGCAGGTTCCGGAAGGGCAGCGTACGAGTTGCGCTACTAAGTCAACTTTACAGTTGTTTAATCGTGAACATTGTCCTAACGAATGAATCGATATTTCGTTGCCCATGCTTTCCTCATTCCCACCCCTTTTAGTGATCAACTTTACCCACGTGTTCCACTTTCTCGCGGTATCATCTCTCGATATGGCCGCAGCAGAATCGGCAAGTTTGATAGGTCACCTGCAGCACGTTGTTATTGCACAGTCAGACGTCGTTGCTGCTATTTTGCGCATTCAGCTGCCCACGGTGTATCCGTTGTCGTCTCTGGACCAGTTGAATTCCGCTTTTCGCATTCTATCGGCATTGAGCGAATCTGGGTACGTTTCTGCTATATGATTATGAGCCGTGCTCCTCTTGCATCACGACTCACTTGCATTTTTCTCGTCCTCTTGTAGGCAGCAATGCGAACTCTTGCATTCTTGGGAATCCCAGCTGCTTGCCGTGAGTTTTGGCCATAGCATTATTCGATGGAAAAGCTGAGCGTCATGTTACTTCGAGCCCACTAATACTCCTGCTTTCCCTCCCTCAGTGTCGTGCTTGCGGACCACTGTTGTTGGCCGTATGGTGTGGCATCGTATGCGGCCTCCGCCCGCAGGTGAGTTACACGCTTGGTTCACACACCTGGTGAATACTGGGTTACAGCTGGAATATATCACGTTGTGTATTTTCATTATATATATATATATATATATATATATATATATATATATTTGGCGGAATCCAGTTTCGGATTTGCCCATCAATGTGGCCAGCCACATGACGCCTGCGCCTTCAGAGGGACCATATGTGGATAGCGTTGCATCCATATTCAGTGCAAACCCAAAGGAACAAGACCGGGAGGCATGTGGAGGGGGCCACGTTTCATCAACGAAGCCGGCCCACCCTTCTTCACAGGCAAACGCAAGCACCCTGTATTTGGGGAATCAAGTGCATACAAGGCGGTGGTTGGACCGTAGTCCGCTCCACACTGAGTGCATGGGACCACTCTTCGAGCCTACCACAGCCACAAGGACCGTGCACCCTGTCCCCTCCAGCAACGACCAACTGTCTCCTGGAGCCAGTATGAACGAGGTAGTGGGTAATAGACAAGTAAGCACCTTGTCAACATTAAACGCAGCCATACCTGGGATGTCAAACAACAGGCAATCACTTGAAATGACATCAAATAAAACGTATCTGTGAAAGAATACGGCTATGCAGACATAACTCTTCCCTAACTTAGCATATGAAGTAAGTTGGTTAGCAACGAGTCCGTGATAAGTACAAAATGTCCAGAAGTTACTTAAACATGCTACAAACGTAATAAATTTAACGAAGATAAGCTCAATTAGCGTAAACAACTTGTGCAAGTTAGTAGAAGATTATTCAGGTAGGCAGAACAAACCAAATAAAGTGGAATGAAATCTATCCAGCTTAAAAAGACCTAGTTTAAGTGTAAGTTGATTTCGCCCAACCGCGATGAAGACGCATCATGAATGCAACCTCAGCTTCAGCATGGGTCACAACATATAAACATATGAAATAAATTGGTTACCAAAAATTCCGCTATATGTTCAAGGCGTCGGAAAATATATTTTAGGAAAACGTCACAAACACGAAAATGTTATCAAAGTTGACTACAATTAACATGGACGACCTGCGCAAGTTAACGGAATATAGTGCAGGTAGCCATTAAGGAAACAATATAGCAAACCCACCACCTGAAATAAAGAGACCGATCATGCAAGCAAGCGGTTAGTAGATGGAATGCAGCGTACCTACCAACGCCGCGCCGGTTCTGCCTACGTTCTCTGCAGCACTCGCGTCGTTTCGTACTTGGCCCTTAGTGGCCTCGCCCATGGCTCACTACGCCTGCCTAACTCAAGCACTCGCGACTGCATGTGCTACAGCACCATGCGCTCGATGTCGATGGAGTACAACCCATCGGCGCTTACCGTTTCCGCACTTGCCGCTTGTTATCTGCATGCATGTATCCCCGTAAGAAAAATCCCTGGGATTCAGATCCGGGGATCATTCCTCCTCGACCGATCCAACGTCCACCGAATGTCTCGTTCTTTTATACGCCAACTAATTGCACCGAATGTGCCGGTGCGCCATCCTGCTGCCACCAAAAGTTATTCATTAACCCTTCCGACTAACTACGGAACGACGCTGCTTCGCAGCATTTCCATTACTAGAAAGCTAAGGAACATCAGACATTGGTATTGTAAACAACCTACTGGACACACTGTTGGAAAAATGGTCCCAATGACTGTTCGACCAGGCAATCCAGCCCATGCCATCAGCTTCGCGTTGTTACACATGTGAAGCGCTACATTGTCGTGGGTTGGTTGTTGCCTAAACATGTTGCGGATCTTCGTCATGTAGCGGGAACATTACCACATCGGTGAACGAAATGGAATGCATGTCCAGACTGATTAAAAACAAACGGGCGGATTCTAGGCGCTTCTGTGAATCGCATGCGTTCAACACTTGCACATGCAGTGCACTGTACCGCCAGCACTTTTTTCTTGTAATATTCGATGCACAGCATGCGGTGTGGTTTCAAAATGTTGTGCGAGTTGCCGTATGCTGTGATGGCCGTTACCGCATACCTCTTGCGCAACAGCGCAAGCTAGTACATCATCCGTGACGGTGCGAGGCCACCCGATTTGTTTGATGTTGCAAACATATAATTTGTTGATAGTTACAGACAGTTCACACATTTCATGTAAATATAAGTGAAGAGATGAATAAATATATATTCTCCATTGTACATGAGAAACACCATCGAGGGCCTGATCAATGTGCACAACTAGCAATTGTCTGACTGTGAGGGCAATGGTTGCATTCATGACCAAATTGGTGTGCTGTCTAACGGTGCCACCAGTGTGTCAGGACAGGCTGAAAGCTAAGTGCGTTGTCACGTCAAGTCAAGTCAAGGATGCAATTTTATGCACCCATGAAGGGTGAATTTTCAGGTGTAACACACACGCGATCGAAACAGTAAAGCGAACAACACTGTAACCTTACAATGTGCTCCCGGCAGTATGATTCGCTTTATCAGCGAAAGCAGCCTACGAAAAGATTACGGGTTTGTTGGAAGCCTGTCATGAGGCGATAACAGCTTTTGTGGCGATAGCAATACGACGCTCATCGACCGGTCATCACATACGACCAGGCTGTTTTTCTCAGTTGCTAGCAAGGCGACCCACTAAACACTTCGTAGAGAACCCTTTTGCTGGCTTTTTCATCTGTGTGAAGGCCGACTGCTGATCGATCGAAGCATGATACATGCAGTGCGGCTGTGTTGTCTGGCCCACGTCCAGTTTTCACAGCCGAACGGCATGTGTTCCCTTTGTCTTGCCCCGCAATTAACGCATGACAGGTCGACTGCGGCTGTGACGTTTGCTGACGTTCACTTTTCACAGCCGAACGGCTCGGTGTGACCTTCGACACATGTCACGTCTCCCTTTCCGATCTCACCCTTGCCGGCGAAGCAATTTGCGCCATTGGACAGTTAGCAAATCAGCGTACCGGGGTACGTCAGCACCTGAGTGCAGTCGCTCCTAGTTCCGGACATGATTACTAAAACACCGTGTATATATGGGCGAGGGCATCCATGACTCGGCGTGGTTTGTGATAACTAGTTATTGAGAAGTCTTTGACCTCCTGTTCCCAGAGTTGTGCGTGGACTCATCTGGATGCCTCATGGTAGTGGCCCATGGTAATGTTTGGTTACACCCTTCTTTTAGTTAAAACCTAGGACACACTACGCCGCGTCAGCCGGTTTACTGACTCATGACGCACAGCCCGCTGCCTTTCGGGGTTACATTCTCTCGATGGCTTTGCTGACCGCCTGACTCGTTCTCTTGTTCCGATGTGGACGCCCTGGAAGTATATCAATCTGAAACAAAATCACTGAGTACACCAATGCACAATGTAATGCTGCATCCGGCTGTCAGGGAACGGTGTGGAGAGAATTGGTCGCCTTATCTGCGTATATAGCGATGCGAACAAGCGAAAATATGCTACCGCTAGCGCTTCCCTTCTTTCTTCTTCCCCTGCACATACCTCCTTCATCATTTCACCAAACCCAATGCTTCCTCTACTCCAGTAGGCCATGCGTGCAATTTCCCACCACCGCAACCATATGCCTCCGACAAAGCACTCGACGTCTGGTGGGTGAATATACACGTATTGCTCGACTGGGACACTGGTGAGCCTCCCGAGTGATGCACTGCACTAGTCATGACGAAACTCGCGCGCCACGGGATCGCCATTGCCGCACTGAGTGAGACATGGCTCGCTGATGAAGGCAAGCTTCATGAAACTGGTGCTGGTTACACGTTCTACCAAGTGACAAATACCACCTCAACACCACGTGAACATGAGGTCGGCTTTATTCTATCCGGCTGCCTAAATGTCCAGCTGATGTCAGAGCCGACTGGATTCAGTCCACGATTTCTGACTCCACAAAAGCGTGTCGGACGTTGTAAGGTCGCAACCTTTATTAGCACATATGGTTCAACCGTGTATTATGCCCATGACACGAGGGATTAGTTTTACACTAAGTTCTCCGTGATACGGTCTGTGCAGGTTGAGAAATCGTCTATTTCTACGGAATGATTTTAACGCGCGCGTTGGGCGTGATGCCGCGGTGTGGTCAGATGTATTCGTTCCGCATGTTGCTGGCACGGGCGATGGGAACGGCGACCGATTGCTCTTACTGCGCGCTACTCAATATCTGACTATCACGAAGACGCAGTCTGCACTGTGTGTGAGTGTTGTAGCTACTTGAAATCACTCACGGAATGGTCACGCTCACCTGCTGGATTATGTCATCCTACGTCAGGGTGACATGCATGAAGTGCGTGTGACACTACTGCGTGGATCTGAGTGTAGCACTGAGCACAAGTTGATGCAGACCAAATTGTATATATGTTTTCCTAAGCCTACGTATTGATCGTCTGCCATGAATTGGCGGTAATTTGAATTTCGCTTTCTACGTACTGTTGAGGAGATAAGGGAATTCGAGAATGCGGTGGCTACCCAAATTAGCGGCGTCGACTCCACTAGTTCACACATCACCTTATGGCGCCACCTGCAGGAACAGCTAGCCATTGCCCGAACTGTAAGGCGGCCGATGGTTTTGATTATAACAATGTGACCATTGGCGCATTGGTGTCAGAAAAGAACACCGATTTTGCTGCACTTATGGAGGATCTCGTCGAAGCGGAATAAGTTTCGCTGAATGCGTTGCCTGTTTTCTAGGAGGCTCTATCGCATCAAAATTGCATGGTGAACAGAGAAGGCGGAGCAGATGGAATACTACGCCGAACGTCCCCAACACAAGCAATTCTTTTACTCTTTAATGGTGGCGTATGGGTCCACCTTGCATCCATTAAGAACACTGACTGACGCTGTTTCGTGTGATGCCTGCATACAAACTGTAAACATAAGGTAGATTGGCGACAGCACTTCGACTGACTCTTGAACAACTGTTCACATATTGACTGGGCTACGTTGAACGAGCTGCAACAACACGTGAAGGGTATGGCAAACACCCCGAAACGGCAAGTGCACCGGAGCCGACAAGTTATTATTAGAAGTGCTGAAAAATGGTGGAACCCCTTTGGTACATGCATTGCACCACTTGGTGCAACGCCTGTGATTTAAATAACATGTGCTAGTTAGACTGAAGAAGGCCTTTGTACTACTATTGTACAATGGAAAAGGGAGCAAGCAATGTGCCACAAATTATCGTGGCATTAACTGGCTGTTGGGAAGGTGATGCCTCAGATCCTGTTCAATCGATTCATCACTCATGTCCTCGAACCAAACGTGGTGGTAGAACAGTGCGGATTTCCCTTAAACTGCTTCAAGGTAGATACGGTCTTCGCGGCTCGTCGATTGCAGGAGAAGTACCGAGCGCAAACAGCCACTTTACTCGCTGTTCATCGACATCACCAAGGCATTTAACACGGTTAACGGCGAGACACTGTGGCTGGTGTTGGGTAAGTTTGGTTGACCAGGTGAGTTTGTTCTAATTGAATGCCTGCATGTTGTTGTGTAAGCGAGGTTACAGTTTCGTGGACAAACCTCGGACGACCTTGAAGTCGTCTCTGTTGTTAAGGTAGGCTTCATCTTAGCCCTTGCCCTGTTTCAAATTTATCGAAGTGTCACATAGATCATAGACTGTTTCCATAGTTCTTTCTGGGGGAGCTTTCCCCGATTTGCCTGATTAGGTTATGTAGAATTTTAACTAAAATTAATATTTATTGTATATTTTCGATCGTTGCAGATGTTGAACTGCATGTTAAGTTCAATTGTTAGAATCGAGCACGGCCTCTGCTTGACACTTTAATTGGCTCGCAGCGCCTGAGCGCATTCGTGTGCTGCACCTTTTCGTTCCCCTAGTTAGAACGTTGTCGCTTTTATAGCTAGGCCAACAGAGAATCTTTTACTGTACAAAATAAACGCTTCCCTACTTTCAGTCTACCTTCTGGAACCGATATCTGGGCTCCCGCTTAAACAGCAACGGCATGTTAGAAACAGGTTTGTGGGGACAAGCTAGCTTGATGCTGATTTCAGAAGCAATCAGATTGCTTCCCCCGTTTCTGAGATATATATCGTTTAATGCGATACGCATCAGTCCGATTCCATTTTTAGTCAATATCCTAACATCACAGCTTCATCCAGCCCCATATACCATCGAGTTAGACTGTTCTCTGCTAAACGTGGCCTTGCCAATTTAGTGCTTTCAAGCTCCACATATGGTTCAAGTAAAGCGCCCTCGAGTGTGCTGCGGGACAGCAGTGTTGTACGCTTGGTGATCCTATGTGATGTGGTCGCTACTTCCTCTGAAGCACTTATCACAAGTGCGCATTGTCGTGACACGGCGACCATATCTGGGTTCCACCCTGTGACACCGTTCTCCGTGCAACGTCGCGCAAGCCATCCTTTACCGATGGAGGCTGAAACTACCGTTTCCATAGCTGATCATAGCTTCGAAATTCGAGGAATTCTTGATGTCATTTGGCGCAAGCATTCCTGTAACGACAGTCAGGGACGTACTGATACTTAATTGATGAAACTGGCCATTCACCCCATGGGAGATTGTCCTGTTACAACGTGAAAGTGTGGCGTATCCACCCAGCCTTTTCATAGTTTTTGCTTTTTGGACTGCGAGTTGCATTATTCGGAAAAATAAGTTCTGTATCACAACTGTCCACCGAAACTGCGTTTAAAGGGTTCAGAGATTAGTATCTATCTCAGGGCGTTGCTGTGTTTGTTTGATCCAAGTTGTTCCAACGCAGCATCATGTACGCTGCCCGCACACAGTGATGATTGGTCTCCGGTCTTGACGTCGATCTTTCACCGGAATACCTGTAGCGATTGAATCAACTAAAACTACTTCGATTCATCTTTTCCCTTCGCGGAACCTCTTACTGTTTTAGGTTTCTTCCATAAACCTCTTTCTTGTATTTAAATGCATCTCAAATGCATTTGCTCTATTGAATTTCACGACTGTCTGACCAATTCTGACTTGTGGTACATTAAATAAATAGCTAATTTATTTTCGGACAATGCTTAGTGGTTTCTCGCCTCTCGATGGCACCGTTAATCGCTGTCTCGTGCAATTTGTTTCCGACTGATGACTCTTGGATTTCCGAAACTTGAAGCCGACGTTATTATAATTGTATTACAATTAACCGGTCATTACGCAAAATTTTCCAAATGATTTAATTTATCCCTTTTTTCTTCTATATTCGATTTCGCTTAATCAGGTAGTGTTGCTCCGAAATCCAGTTGGATTGCTTGCTGGCCTGATGGAGTGTGCCGACAAGATCGGCACTGCAACGGATTCACTCAGACCGAGTCTCTCTATGTTTGTTGCCCAGGCATACGGATCGGTACTAAACAAATGTCCTGAGCCTCTGAGCCAAGGTATGTGATGTAGAATAGATTTTCTGTCGCCACACTCGTTTCTTGTCGTTAACTTCTGCCCAATTCCCTGCGTTTTCGGGCCTATTTTTGCAGTTGCACCAACCGCCTGTGTTTGGAGGTCCGCTCTGTTCAACATTGTATCAAGTCAGATTAACTTAGACACTCGGTGGTCAGATTTCTTATTATTTTTCGACTATTTGCACTCTGGGTATCAAGGAGGCTGCAATCAACTTTTTCTGCCGTAACCCAATGGTTTCACACACAGCAATAAGCGGTATTCTGATGAGTGCGCGCTCATTTGCATTAT